CGCCCCCGTCATTACCATCAGGTCTTGTATATTTCACTATCTTCTTATCCCACTTGAAGATAAATTCCATGCCAGAAGGGGTGTCTGTCTGTTTAATCAGTATGGATAATACAGCAGTGATACCTACCTTCCTATGGGGAAATGGATGCTCCTACTTACACTGCTGATGCTCCTACTTACACTGCTGATGGGAGTATTTGGCGATATCTATAAAAATTATAAACGCATATACCTTTTGACCCAGCTATTCCACTGGGACTTTACCCTGCAGGTATATTCATATCAGGTGTACCGGTTAATAATGCGGATTTTATAATCAAAGAAAACACGATAATTTCAAGAGAAACATCAAAAGTGCTTTATTCAAAGTAATGTCTATCGCTAGCTACACATTTCCCCCATCTTTCAGGTAATTTGTGGATACCGCCCCAATTGAACTTTTCTTGTTTTGAGGCAAACCATTCAGAGACCCAATTTTCCACTTCTTCGTATGTTTTGTAGTGCTGCTCAGAAAGTGCGTGTGCCATTGATCGGAACAAGTGGTAATCTGAAGGAGCAAGGTCTGGTGAATACAGCGGGTGGGTTAATACTTCCCAGGCAAGATCTTTTAATGTGTCTTTAACTGGTTTTGAAGTGTGTGATGGTGCGTCATCATGAAGCAAAATTACTTTGCTGTATCTTCTGCCCCATTCTGATCGTTTCACAATCAAAGCATGGTTCAAATTGATTATTTGTTGTCTGTAGCGATCAGTATTAACGGTGTCACCTGGTTTTAGAAGCTCATAATACACCACACCTTCCTGATCCCACCAAATGCAGAGCATTGTTTTCTATCTGAAGCGATTTTGGCCTTGCAGTCGATGTTGATGGTTGACCTGGATCAACCCATGATTTTGTGCATTTGGGATTCTCAAAATAAATCCACTTTTCATCACCAGTCACAATTGGATGCAAAAAGACTTTCTTTAGTGCCGCTGAATAACATTTTACTGATGACTTTTTGGTTTTCCATTTGTCTTTCGTTCAATTGACGTGGCACCCATTTTCCTTCCTTTAAAATCTTTCCCATTGCTTGTAAACGATCGGAAATTGTTTGCTGAGCAATGTTTAATCTTTCTGCAGGTTGTTTTTGAGTTTGACACACATCTTCATCCAATAATGCTTGTAATTGTTGGTCTTCAAACTTTTTCAGTTGACCTGGACGTTCTTTGTCTTTCACATAGAAATCATCACTTTTAAAGCATTAAACCAGCATACACAAGTATCTGGAAATGGAGCATGTTCACCATAAGCTTCCAGAAGTATACAGTAACTTTCAGCAGCACTTTTCTTTAAAATAAAGTAATGAATTAAAACTTCCCGCAAATGCTCTTTTTTTGGCACAAAATTTGACATTTTTAAGCATAAAAATATCTATGATGTTAACACCTTCAGAAAATTTTACATATGAAGTTTTGAAGCTGTTGTCAATACAACAAAATAGCATACATATCAAATCACATATATATCAACATATGTGTAACTCCATCTATTGAAAAAAATCCACATTATTAACCAGTACACCTGGTACATGTGAAAATTGCCCTATGTACAAGGGTGTTATTGCTACACTACAGGCCCGGTGCATGAATTCATGCACAAGTGGGGTCCCTCGGCCTGGCCTGCAGGATCGGGCCGAAACCGGCTCTCTGACATCCCCCCGAAGGGTCCCGGAATGTGAGAAAGCACAGGCCAGGCTGAGGGACCCCACCGGTGCACAATTGGGGCCGGGCGGGATGCAGGAGGTTGACCAGCCAGGGAGGGACCGCGGGAGGGCTCCAGGGTGAGTCCGGCCAGTCACGTTCAGTCCTGATCGGCTGGACCCCAGCAGCAAGCTAACCTATCGATTGGAGCGTCTGCCCCCTGGTGGACAGTGCACATCATAGCGACTGGTCGACCGGTCGACTGTCTGCCTCCTGGTGGTCAGTGCACGTCATAGTGAGCAGTGGAGCGGCCTTAGCATATCATTAGCATATTATGCTTTGGATTGGTTGAACGGATGACTGGACACTTAGCATATTAGGTTTTTATTATATACTAGAGGCCCAGTGTGCATGAAATTGTGCGCGGTTAAGGTCCCTAGGCCTAGCCTATCCTCCGTCGCATGGCTCTGCCGCCCTGCGATGCTATGTGAAGCTCCCTGCCCCGGGATGCTCTGCAATGCTCGTGGCCCCTCAACTGCTCTGCGAGGCTCTCCCCGCTCCTCGACTGCTCCGCGAAGCTTGCCGCTGGACGCTCCATGAAACTCCCCCCACCCTGCGACTATTCTGCGAAATTCCCCACCCCGCAACTGCTTCTAGAAACTGCTCCGCTAAGCTTACGGCCACCCCGCGAAGCAGCCCGCCACTGCCGCTCAACAGTCCCCAGTCCTGCCCCACCGCCTGCCCCCCCCCTGGTGGGGAGCGGCTCAGGGGCCAGGGGCAGGGGGAACCGAGAGGTGCTCCATGCACTTCATGGTGACTGGGTTGCCTGTTCGGTCATGACGGCACTTAGCTCTTTATATATGTTAGCAGGATAAATGCCTGTCAGCCAGGGACTCTTACTCATGTAATTGCATACTCTGCAGCGTGAAAAAGCTGTTTTTGTGCCCATGCAGACAGATGTGCGGAAGTCTCTGGAAGAGAAGGCAGGGGTGCAGACCGTGCATGGTGTGTTCTGGCATGAAAAACGAAGGTGCGTGGGTTCATATCCTTGTCCACGCATGAGGGCACTGGACAGAGAAGCGAGAAGCTGCTAGGAGTGACAGGCCGATGTGAGTGAGGCTCCTACTGTACGTTTTATATGAATTATGAATGTATTATCTAATAAAGAAATGAAAGCTAGCCTTGCAGGCTATTATAAGGACTAAAGAGCATGTACAGAGCGCGGGCCTGGGCCTGGCATGCACAGTAGGTTCTCCATACTTGTCCCTGTGTTTGAGCACACAAACAGGCAGAGTTGGACCCGTGGTCATTTTACTGTTTCGGTTTGCAGTTGCTTAAACTGGCATGCCTGATGCACAAGTGCTGGAGTGTGCACAGGTGCCCACAGGACACGGAATGTGGGCTCAGGTTTTTGTCCGTGAGGTACAGAGACATGTCCATGTACAGTAGTCGCAGTGAGCTCCTTAATATGGAACGAAGCCCTTCACTATGCTTGTCATCCCAGTAGCACCTAGTTTATGATGGGGCTGTAGCTACCCTTCATACCTCAGAGTTGCATGGTTCTTACTTGACAGTATTGTAATTTAGAGTTCTAATGGAATTATGTTGTGTTTGTTTAAGACAAGAGTAAAATCTTCTCCTAACCATAGTGCTAGAAGTTGTTATGTCTGTCCTTAGCCCTGGCTGGTTTGGCTCATTGGTTAGAGTATGGGCCCCAGATTGAAGGTGGAGGGTTCCATTCCAGGTTAAGGTGCACGTGTATGAGGCTATCAGCCTCTCTCTCTCTCTCTCTCTCTCTCTCTCTCTCTCTCTTTCTCTCTCTCTCTCTCCTTCCCTTCTCCTCCTCCTCTCTCCCTCTCTTCCCTCCCCTCCACTCTCTCTAGAAATCAATGGACAAAATATGCTCTGTGAGGATTAAAAAAAAAGTTGCACTTGTGATGGAGGGACAGTAGCGTGATCGTGGGAAAACAGGTTTGACTTGGTTGTGGTGACATGGGAGGTGCTGGGCCGCCTGACCAAGCCACCCATGGGGGGTGAGAAGTGGCCACCCTTAGACTTTGGACTAGCAGGCCAGTCACCTTTATGGGGTCAGGAATGCTGGAGCAGCCTGGGCCTGATGGGAACAGCAAGGTCTGGCCTGGCCTTGCAAGTTCTCTGTGACCTCGTGTGGATGAAATGGTGACAGGCTTGTGGGAGCCCTGCCGGAGCAGCACTGGCTCTTAGGCCGCATGGTTCATTAATCTCCTTGAAAACCTCAGGTTTTTAATTTTCTGTAAAAGTGCAGCACACACAGCAGGCTGATGAGGGAGAAGGTGCCCTGCTCTTGGCAGGGTTCAGGGGTCCCAGCCAGCGAGGTGAAGGCACCAGTTGCTAGAGGGGTGGCTTCAGAGGGTGTTTGGCAATAGGAGTCTGAGAACTTGGGGACTTCCGGATTGTTGCTGCTGATGTGATTTGGGGCAGAGCCACCCTGTGGGGGCTGCTGGGCCTATGGCCTCCAGGTCTGCAGGCAGGGAAGGTGCTGTGCCTTCGGGTGGATTTTACTTTTGGCCTTTTCTTGGTTTGAGAGGCAAGACTCTCCTAATCTGTGCCTGTTAAAGGAATGGTTGGTTAGTGGACCAGTAGTAAGCAGAGAGTAGAGGGGCCGTGATCGGGCCCATACTCTTGAACTAGTCACCTACCTGTCCTTTTTTTTTCCCTTTAAATTCTTTATTACCTGTTTCTTAAACACCACCGTGTTCCAGAGGAGATGTGGAAGGATTGCCTGTAAAGGGACTCACAGGACAGCGGCCCCAAGGAGGAAATCTCTGCTCCAGGGCCGCGGTGGAGCCGGGGTGTGTGTGTTGAAATCCTGTGTGCTGCTGGCAGGGGCCTCCCCACCTGGGAACAGCTCAAGCAGGGGCAGGTGTAGTCCGCTCATGACTGACGGTGAGCTAAAACTCGAGGCCAGCACTGCGAGGTTCCCTGGGTCCTCACAGAGGACGCTGTGTAGGTGCAGTGACTCATAGATCAGACTCTCCTAGTGGGAGAAATGTCAAGTGCTCAGGGGCTGTCCCTCTCCGGTGTGTCCCAGCGCCTGGCACAGTGACTGCTGAATAACCAGCTCCCTCTGTGAAGGCCAGTGGCCTCACACCCAAGTGCAGTTCTAGAAAGTCATTGTTCAAGCGGCCAGAATGCTCTTCACGGGCCTGGTCGGCCACGGGAGAGTGTGACATGCCCGGGTGACTTGTCCCTTGTCACCGAGCAGCAGACAGCTTTCTTGCTGGAACATAGACCGTTAAGCTCCCCATTGTGATAACGTGTTCTCCTTTGTCTTCACAGAGACTAATAGACAAGTCACGAGTAACCTGTGTCAAATGGGTTCCCGGTTCGGAAAGCCTTTTCCTAGTAGCCCATTCGAGTGGGAACATGTACCTGTATAATGTGGAGCACTCTTGTGGCACCACAGCCCCCCACTACCAGCTCCTGAAGCAGGGCGAGAGCTTCGCCGTGCACACTTGCAAGAGCAAATCCACGAGGAACCCTCTCCTCAAGTGGACGGTGGGCGAGGGGGCCCTCAACGAGTTTGCTTTCTCCCCAGATGGCAAGTTCTTGGCGTGCGTGAGCCAGGACGGGTTTCTGCGGGTGTTCAACTTTGACTCTGTGGAGCTGCACGGCACCATGAAAAGCTACTTTGGAGGCTTGCTGTGCGTGTGCTGGAGCCCGGACGGCAAGTACATCGTCACGGGGGGCGAGGATGATCTGGTGACAGTCTGGTCTTTTGTAGACGGCCGAGTGATAGCTCGAGGCCACGGGCACAAGTCCTGGGTCAGCGTGGTGGCGTTTGACCCCTACACCACGAGTGTAGAAGAAAGCGACCCTATGGAGTTCAGTGGCAGTGACGAGGACTTCCAGGACCTGCTCCACTTTGGCAGAGACCGAGCAAACAGTACCCAGTCCAGGCTGTCCAAGCGGAATTCCACGGAGAGCCGCCCCGTCAGTGTCACGTATCGGTTTGGCTCTGTGGGCCAGGACACGCAGCTCTGCTTGTGGGACCTCACGGAAGATATCCTTTTCCCTCACCAGCCCCTCTCCAGGGCACGGACACACACAAATGTCATGAATGCCACAAGCCCTCCAGCCGGGAGCACTGGGAACAGCGTCTCGACGCCTGGCAGCTCTGCGCCCCCCCCTCTACCGCGGTCCAATAGCCTCCCACATTCCACTGTCTCCAACGCCGGCAGCAAGAGCAACGTCGCCGATGGGGCCATCGCGTCTGGGGTCAGCAAATTCGCAACACTCTCCCTACACGATCGGAAGGACCGGCACCACGAGAAAGATCACAAGCGAAACCATAGCATGGGACACATTTCTAGCAAGAGCAGTGACAAACTGAACCTAGTTACCAAAACCAAAACGGACCCAGCTAAAACTCTGGGCACGCCCCTGTGTCCTCGAATGGAAGACGTTCCCTTGTTAGAGCCGCTCATCTGTAAAAAGATAGCACACGAAAGGCTGACTGTGTTGATTTTTCTTGAAGACTGTGTAGTCACTGCTTGTCAGGAGGGGTTTGTTTGCACATGGGGAAGGCCTGGGAAAGTGGTAAGTTTGAATCCTTAACGCTGCACCAGACCGAGAACTTGAGTAGGTAGTGATTTTTTTCCTTGTGGGAGGGGTGGGTGTACAATGAATGAATGACACTTCTTAATGTAAATCTAAATGCATCAGAGCCATACTTTTGGATACTGCATGCCATGTAATTCTGAATCATTTGATAATTCACCTTAGAACGTTTAAAAAATATAATCAAACTAATTGCCAGCCAAGTCCGTCACCCTCCTGGGAGTATATAGAGTCCCAAGGTGAGCGTTCCTGTCTTAGACTATTTCGATTTTAGGAAAATCATGACAGTGTGGGGAAACAATGAATTAAAAAGCTAAAATTAAAATTTCTGCTTTAACTGGAATATTTTTGCTTAACTACTCAATTAGAAAATTGTACACCTGATCAGAGCGTGTTCAGCACGGACGGCCACTGACTGTCATTTATAGTCCAGTTTTTTATCTTAATCATAAAATGTTTAGGAATCTATGAAATTTAACTTTAGGAACAAAGCGTTCAGCAGGGTTGATTGATATTATTTTTACATTGTTCTGGCAATCCACAGAAAGAGAAGAGCCTTAATTTTTAAAACCCATTTTAGTCATTTTATGACAATTAAAATTGTTTAATAAACATCTTTTTTCAAAGAAGCAGTTTGTACCACTTTGATTGAGATTCTGTGCACTAAATAAAATACCCACGTTCCTCAAGCCTGGGCGGTTCCTGTGAACTGCGGGCCGAGGTTGCCCACCGCACGTGTCGGAAGTGCCTCTAGCCACGGAAGCCAAGACCTTTTCTGTCCAGTGCGCTTTTGCTTGTTTTTTTCCCAACAAGAAAAAAGAGGTTTCATTTTCTTTTGTTTTGGGGCGGGTTTTGTTTTGTTTTTATTTCTTGGGGGTTTTTTTTTTGGTCACGAAGGCTCACGATTGTAGGCCCTGGGCAGCCTCTTTAGCTTTGTTTTGTACAAACTGACAGACCCTCCCCATCCCATTCACACCCCCCCACCCCCCGTGGTCCGGGTTTGGTTTTCACCTAGAGGGGAAGTCCAACTACAGAGTGCCCCCTTATTGTCGGATGGTGGTCCTTCCAGGGTCATTCTTGGGATGCTGATACTAGCCTGGCCCTCAGGCTTCCACCCCAGCACCTCACCCTGGGCCCAGGTGCCCACTGGATGGACCCGCTGCTCCCGTGGGAAATTGCAGTGTTTGGTTCTGAGTCCCTATGACCCTTCTCAGCTGTGTAGGAGTTTCAAATCCCAGCTTTCACACGATGCGATGGTTCTTTGAACTCTGTGTTTTATGTCAAGATGACGATTATCTGGTTTGTTAACTTATTTTGGTCATTTAGGTTTGTTCTATTTTGCACACTTTTGTAATTAAATATAGCGATGCTGATAACATATGCTGGTTTGAGTAGTGAATGCCATTCAGCGAAGTGAAGATCTGGATGTTCAGCTCTCTGATGTGTGAGGCTCTGTGCGCTCTCAGTGTGCCCTCCCCGGAAGGCCCACCCACACCACCCGCCATGCTCCATAATGCGAGTGGTGTCTGTCACTTGTGGTCGCAGTGGCCGAGTTCTGCTACAGGAGGTCCAGGGTGGCCTTCAAGGGGCACCTCCTCCATTGATGCATTACAGCCCGTGAGAATGATGACATGCTCTCTACCGACTGTTAGACATGGCCCTTTGTTCCTAAATGTTCATGTTCTAAGGTAGCGGCCCATGAACCATCAACTTCGGAGTCTGCCAGATGGAGAGATTAAGAACCAACACTCCATGTGCAGTTTTATGTTCCTACCTAGTTTTAGAAATTCCATTTCAAAGGCTTCTGAGGCATTGAGAAGTTTCAAAACCCAGGACTTTGCCTAAGTGGAGAGTGGCTGCTCCCAGGTGAGTGGCCTTTATGGGGAAGGTTACGATGCCCTTGCAGTTCTCTTGCACTGCTCACTGCATGACTCACACTTGACACTGGACGCTTTCTGGTTCTTCCTGCCCTTCAGCATCCTCAGCTGCACCGGCTGCAGTAAAGGAGGGGCTGCTGGTGCACTGACAGGTGACCTACCTAAGAGACACTTGAGTGAGGGTAAGAGGAGGATATTGTTCCTTTTAAAAACTCTAAAATGTGCTCACAGGAGCCAGTGGTGCCTGTCTCTTCCACCCCTCACCCTGCCAGGCTCCTGTCCATTTCTCGTTCTTCCAGTTTCTGCTGGTGTGGGGATCCTATCTGCCTGTCTGGGAGGCTGCCTGGGGCCCCTGCTGGGTGTCAGGTGCTGGGGAGGCGCAGGCTTCCGCTCCTCTGACACCTGCCCCCTCTTTGACAGCCAGCAGAGCCCCTCTCCTGCAGGCGGGAGGACCAGCTTGAGGAGAAGAGGGTGCTGCACAGGGCATTCCCCTCAGACTGGGCCGGTACTGGCTCCTGTGGACCTGGGTGGGACAAGAGGGGCAGGAGGGGAGGGGACTGGAGTGGTGGGTCCTGACCGGGTGGATGAGGCACTAAGAGAAATCTGGGGAGTTTTTCATAGTTTTCTCTCCCAAATTTGAACTTCCTCAGTGAAATTTGTCAATTTCCAGCTTAAACATTGTCTTGAGCAGGAAAGTCCTTTCTCAACCTGCCCTCTGCAATAAAAGCCATGGGCAAGAGGAGGCGTTCCCACTCTGTCAGCAAGCTCCTCTGGAGAGCAGGGACACAAGTAAGGCCCAGAGGCTCCAGCTGGCTCCCTCCTGGCCAGCCGGCCAGCCTTCGCTGAGGCAGCTCTGGCCCTACTGATGGGGCAGGGCAGGATGATTCAAAATCCCCCGAGGGCTAGAGACACAGCCTAAGGAAAGCCTTGCCTTGTTTTAAAAGCAAGTGTGTAAGAGGGAATAGGCAGCCACTTTTAAATAACCAGTAACTTTAGGTTCTAAATTTACATAAATAGTGGTTAAGAATCTTAATTTTGTCTTTTGTGCCAAGTGAACCTTCTGGCATTTTTGAGTGTTCTCCTGTGAGCCATTGGCTTGGGACTAAGAAGAGGAAATGCCTTAGGATAGATAGCGGGATGGACGAGTGGAAAGACCAATAAGTCACAGCAGAGATTATTGTCTCAGACATTCAGAAACCATAAGGAGCCCCATGGCACTTCCCAGGTCCTGGAGGCACGTGTGGCTCCGGCCAAGTCCCAGATGGCTGGTAGCCAGGAAGCCATTTCTCCCTCATTCCTCCACTTCCAGGGTTGCATCTTGAATTTGTAAGAAATTGTCAAGTTTCGAATTCATACTGCTTTATCAGGTGGCTGTGCCTGTGTACAAGGGTCACGTCACCTCTTGCCTGGGAGGGAGACGTGATCTGTTTGTTAAGGAAGCTCAAGGGGTGAGGGGGCAGCCACAGGGTCAGGGAGGGCGTGGGAACCGGGTGCCCCGTGTTGTGTTTCTGACTGCCTGAGAAAGCGCTAAAAGCAGAGTTCGACTTGGGGTTTTGCAGGAAAGATGCGGGAGAGCTTGGCCATGGGGACCGGTGTGTGGGTGGACCAGCGGAAGCAGCGGGCCTTGTGTCCACAGTGGGGGTTTCCTTCCTCATCCCGGATCCTCTGTGTGCCCGGGTGTGACCCGGGGCCGAGTGGCACGCCTGCCATCATGGGCTCAGCAGTCTGGGAAGTGGAGGCCAGGACTGCAGAGAAAAGCACTTGTATTCAGCTGTTCCCCTCCAAACCCAGAGCCCAGCTCCCACGTGGGAACACGCCCCTTGTGGAGGAAGCCGTCCACAGGCATTGACTTCATCCGTCGCTGCATCTGTTACATGATGTTTGTGTCATAAATTGCTGTCTCTCCATTGAAAAGTGTAAAAGTTTTTGCATATTTTATTTCTGTATACCTAAGTTTATTAAAGATTATGTTAGGTGACACTGTATAAAATTGTATGAATATTTATTTTTAGTGAAAATCAAAAGTAAAATTTGTTTGTATTTCCTTTTTTTATATTTTCATCTAATTTCTTGACAACTTGAATAAATTTCACAAAGAGCCTTCCTAACATGAAATGCTGGTAAATTCAGTTCTTCACTGTTGCAGTAATGAATGGCGCTTTAGAATCAGTGTTGTTACTTTATCATTTTAAGAAAACCATGTTCGTGTCCCTGCCTTGGTTTTCGCTGTCCCCATCTCACCGTGACAGCGAGAGACTGACGCACTGGACGTTCGGAAGGACTGCGGGGTTGCCTTTGGGACTGACGTTGAATAAATGTGTGAATGAATTATAAATGTAGATAATTTTCCCTGTCACTTTGACAGCTAAGCTTTATAAAACCTCAATGACCATGCTGTAAAAGTAAGGGCCTCGGTAATGTGTGTGGGCCAAGCGGACACAGGAATGGCTACCTCGTCACTGCTGCTGTTTCTCATGACTAGAAACTTTGTTCCGAGTATCAGAGGTCGTGGGTGTCCTATGTGGGGAAGGACGGTGGACTGACCTCAGCCAGCTGTGGAGCAGGCCCGCTTCAGGACACAGGTCGTCCTGGGCCGCCAACGCCGTGCTGAGCACAGAGGTCGGCCCCCAGCACTCTATTCAGCGCCCCCTCGCCCCCTCCGCCAGCAGCGGGGAGAGTGGGGGAACCTGGCTGCTGCTGCAGGAGCGCTTTTCCTGGGAGAGTGCAGTTCCCTCAAGGCTCTGGAACCAAACGCTGGAGTTGTCCTGCCTGAGGCTGCAGCACAGGAAGAGCTTCCTGTAGGGGAAGAAGGAGCCGTTTGTGGTGTGCTGCTGTGAAAGGTCCCTCCGGTCAGGTGATCTGAGCAGCACCCTGGCACCTCTGTCTCTGAGCGCTTCAAGGCAAGAGGCCCAGGCATAGACTGCTGGTCCCCAGAGGGCGGGGGAGGTAAAGGTGAGATGGCCCCTGGTCAGGGCCTGGTGCCCCCATCGTCTTGTCAAGTCCCTGCTGTGTCCTGAGATGCCTGGGCCTGGAGCACAGCTGGCAAGGCTGCTGGCAGGGAGCTCCCTGCTGTCTGCCTCCCCTCCAGGTGGGCGGCCTCCTCTCAGCGGCTCCAGAGGCTTCCTGCCACTGTCCTCCGGGCCTTCAGCGCTCCTGCCTTCAACTCCAAGCTGCCAGGCGCGGCCAGACATTGCGCCCTCGGAGTGCCCTGCTCGGACCCCCTACCACAGGAGCAGGTACCATTCCTTGGCACGGAGTCGGTTGTGAGCCCTTCACACTGCTAGGTCTGCAGCAAGTTCAGAAGGACACACACTTTCTATCCTTAAAAATCGTTTGTACTAGTTATATAACTAGAAAAATATAAGCCCATTCTCCCATGTGTGGCTGCCTGTCGATAAAACAGCTGGCTCTGGACCTGTGCATCTCCTGAAAGAGGCCCTTAGTGTCGGCCTCGAAACCAGCCTCTCCGTGGTTTCGGGTGGAGGCCAGCCTGGGACTCCGGAAGGGCCTCGAGTTAGGAAGGCTTTTAGAGGACCCAGGAGGGGTTCATCCCTCCTGCCCGCTGAGCAGAGAGGTTTCAGAGCCATACTTGGCTACACGGTTCTCAGAGGGTACAAAGAATTTGAATGAGCCCGGCCGGTGTGGCTCAGTGGTTGAGCGTAGACCCATGAACCAAGAGGTCATGGTTCAATTCCCAGTTAAGGCACGTACCCGGGCTGTGGGCTCAATCCCCAGTACGGGGTTTGCAGGAGGCAGCCCATCAATGATTCTCATCTTCGATGTTTCCATCTCTCCCTCTCCCTCTCTAAAAATCAATAAAAACATTTTTAAATAAATACAGACATAAAAATAAGTGCTGCTAAACTCTGTCAATGGAGGGGCCTGCCTCTGAGGGGCGGGGCGTGCAGTACTCTGGGGCCCTGAGCTGTGGCCCTTGGGGAAAGGTGGGGAAGGGCCCCCCTGACAGGTGCCCCTCACCTTAAGGCCAGTGATGTCCCAAGGAACCCAGGCCCTGAGAGCCCACATTGTCCCCCAGCCAACTGGTCCAAAATCCAGGCAGAGCTGGGTTCCGTGGGTTCTGGTTCCAACCAGGCAGGAATGTAAGGATCTGGACAGAATTCAATAGGCAAACGTGGCGGATCTGTTACAACACTGGCTCCTAACCAGCAGGAGTCTGTTCCAGTGGCGTCAGACTGCGGAGAGGTGAGTGGCTGGGACCCTCCGAGGGCCCTGGGTGCTGGATTAATGTAACCTGCTTTGTTTGCAGGGTTTATCGTCATCCCCAAATCAGGCCACTTCCCCAGGTGGAACTGTAGTGTAGCGACCTACTACTGCTCAGAAACTCTCACCCAGACCGGGTCTCGAGGGAGTATGATGATGCAGGAGCTACGAGCTGCACTTCAGCCACGCGTGGGAGGCGGATGTCACCCAAATCATGAGGGGAAGAGTCACTCAGAGCAGGGCTCTCGGCAGGGTGCTCGCTGCGCATCCGAGGAGGTGCTTTCTATTTTAAATCATTCTTTGGGGGCTGGGTAAAAAATGAGAAATGAGCCCTGGCCAGTGTATCCCAGTGGTTAGAGTGTTGGCTCCAGCACCCAAGGGTCACAGGTTTGATTCCCGGCCAAGGGTACATACCTGGGTCACAGGTTGGATCCCCAGCCCAGGTTGGGGCACAAAGCAATGTGTGTCTCTCACATGGATGTTTCTCTCTCCACCCCCCACGGTCCATGTCCCCCCCCCCCCCAAATGCCCCCATCCCTTCCACTCTTTCTAAAAATCAATGGATAAAATATCCTCAGGTGAAGATTAACCAAAAAAATAAATAGTAAGTGAAGTTTTCCTGCTTTTTACTTTAAGATTCAATGTAATTAAAATCTCACGTATATGTGAAATATATACATGTACACACAGTATAAAAACCCAACTGTTACAACTGGTACTTGTCTCCTTTTGCAGTCAGCAGCAGTCGGGCTGTCTGCTTCGGCCCCAGCTGTCCCCTCCGGCTGAGCTCAGGAGGCCCCTGCACTCGGCAGGTGCTCAGCAGACGTGTGGAGTGAGCGAGTTCGACAGGATGGGGGTCGAGGACGTTTGAGACTTCTCCCCTTCTAGAGTTCTGTGGTGACAAGTCAAGTGCTTTGGGAGCCATTTAACAGCATTGCCCAGAAAGGCTTCAATGGCCTCGCCGTCCACAAGCTTTCCAGTTTGGAGGGCAGACCTTGCCAGGGCTCTGGCGGCAGCCGAGGGGGCCTCTTGTGCCCTAAGCCCTGGCCGGCACCTGCCCACGTGGGGCCCGCAGACAGGCACAGCGCCGGAGCCACTTCAGCTGCCCGGAGACTGGCTGCCCAGACAAGAGCAGGTGGGTGCGCGCGCCCACCACACAGGAAGCCCAGCTCTCCAGTCTGCGGGAACGTGGAAGTTTCCTTGTGCACTGATGTTCAAGCCCTGCCGTGGGCCAGGGAGCCACACTGCCCCTCCATGGAGGCAGGCTTGTGGGGACGTGCCCCTCGGGGCCTGGGGGGCTTCAGAGCTTGTTTATTCAAGAGGCCAAAGGGAACCTAAAGGGCCTTATTTGGTGGACAGCTCTCATCCTTCTTGGGCCTGGCCTGCCCGGAGCGCCCCAGCCCACTGTCCCCCCTGGGCGGCGACTGTTCCAGAGTCAGGGCTGTGGGTTCCCGAGAAGCAGTATCCACAGAGTTTGCTCTCAGAAAGGTACACAGAAAACCTTTTCAAATTGGATATACTTAAAGGGGGTAACAGTTTTCCTAAACCCAAATACCTGTTAGTTCTTAAATGTGCGCTGAGAGCCTCTTTGGGACTCAGTGTGGGCCCGCCCACCTTGCAGGTCCCTCCCTCTTCAGCCTTAGCACCTGCTCACGCCTCTGGCACATCTCCCTGGCCCTTCCTCGCTGGGCCCAGCACCTCCTGTTTCTGGCCTCCTGCCTGTCTGTGAAACTGTCTCCGCTCCCACATGACCCAGAACTCCGCCCTTCCGCCCAGGGCCACGCCCACCGCGCCGTCCCTGAAGCCGCTGTGGTCTCCAGTGGTCTAAAAAGAAGCTCTTTCCAAACCTTCCCAAGTGAATGTCACCCAGCTCTGAATGTCACTGTTAAGCCTTAAACCTGTCCTCCCTGGGTAGGCATCTCTGCTCACATGGCCCCACCTGTGTCCATGCTCATGCCCTTCCTCTGCCACGAGCCTGTAAAATACTGATTCTAACCTGCCCCTCCTGTGGCTGCCACGCTCACCCTCCAGCCCAGCTGTGCTGTCACTGGTTCTGCTTCATAAGCTGTGAGTTGGTAGCCACAGGGGAGCTCAGAGGGTGTCAGATCTGTCTTAAAAGAGGGAACAGGAAGATGAAAAATGAGCTCAAGAAATTTGCTTTAAATGTGAGTTGGAGAAGATGAGAAGAAGGAACACTCAATGATTAGGTTACAATGACCAAAACGGGGGCTCCACAGGGTCTTTGCTCTGCCGGCGGCCGGGCCCACACCCTGCCCTCCAGCACCAGGGCATCTCTGCAGCACCCCCCTCCACAGGAACAGGTTCTTCGGTGCCCAGCTTGTTCTTGGCATCCCAGACACTAAGCTCAGTGCCCCCAACCCATCAGGAAGCGGCGTTCTCTCTCACGGGAGCCAGCTGGGCCTCAGGAGCTCGGACGCTGTGGCCACCGGAGAGCCTGGTGCTTTGGCTTGCCCGCGTGCCCAGCACCACCACGCCAGCTGCGGCTCCCTGGGCGGCACCAGGGCACTGGGCACAGCCCTGGGCTTCCTCTCACGGCTTCCCCAGTGAAACAAAATCAAGCCGCACCCAAGTCTTCCCAAGATCAATCCCCCATCTGTTCACAAAAGCTAAAACAAAGGACTGGGTGGTGACACGTTCAGCGCAAATGGTATCACAAGGAAATACTGTGACGAGGGCTATTCTTTAATGAAAGTCACGTATCCTCACGCAGTCACGTGCTGCATGCTCTTGGCGATGTGCTGGAAGCCCACGCAGAGCCCGCGGGGAAGCCAAGCCTAAATAACAAATATAAACTCTAACTTCTGTTTGGATTCATATAAAAATACAAAAGATTTCCTGTCCCAAAGTCTTGGTTACAAAAGTGAAATGGCACCTTCGAGGGAGCTGGTTTACACGTGTATTAGAGCGGAACATACAGCTCGGCGCCTTCAGGATGCGAGCAGCGGGGCTGGCGGCCCCCAGGCCGTCGTGCCACTGGCGTGCGGGCTGCGCTCGCTGGATGCCGTGACTTGGAGGACTGAGCCGCACTGACGCTCCGAGGTGAGCTGGATGCGCTGCTCAGTATCCCCCGCCTTTCCTTTCTATCGTGGGCAGGTGGTACTGCTTCAGGTTAGGCTTAAGGTCCTTCTGTGCATCTGTCTGAAAAGAAAATGACAGACGTTCAGTGGAGGCCAGGACGGCGGCAGGAGCAGCGCTGAGGGGAGCTAATAAGGCGCTACCTTCTGGTTTGCACCCCCACACTTCAGGGGTCTCAGCACCGGCACCTTCCCGCTCGCTCCAGGTCTGAACACCGAGTGCAGCCCGGGGCTGGAGTACGAGAGCTTGGTGGCCCCGGACAGCTTCAGCTGCGGCAGCTCCATCAGGTAGGCCGGGCCCTGTCTCCGGGGCCGGCTCGCCTCCTGCTTCAGGGGCTGTTTCTTGAAACAAAACACAGGTCAGCTGAGCACACGGATGGTGTCTCCACAGAAATCAGGAGAAACAGAAGGCTCTCTGGTGCCACTTCTGCCTAAAGAACTTCTTGACCACAAGGTGCGACTAGACAACAGGTGACCTGGCCACCCCAAAGTGAGGTGGCCCCACACCCGGAGGCAAGGGGGTCTGCACCTCAGGCTGGTGCGTGTGGGGGCTGGCCGGCCCGCGCTGGGGCTGAGCCAAGGCCGTGGGGGTGCCTACTGCTGGCTCCCCAGGTCAGCCATACCTGCTGCCTCCTGCTTTTGTGCGGCTGGGAACTAAGAATGGTTTTTACCTCTTTCATAGTTGACAGTGCTTTCGTGGCATGTGAAAATTATATGGAATTCAAATTTCAACGTCTACAGTTTTATGGGAACACAGCCCCACCGTTCCTTTAAGCATCGTCCGTGTGGGCAGCTGTGATGAGACCTTATGGTTGCAAAGCCTACAGCGCTTGCTCTGTGGCCTCACAGACACGTGTGGGCCGGGCAGACTGGGAGGTGGGACGGGGAACCCAGAGTCTGGAAAGCAGCCTGGCTGCAGGTGCACATGTGTCCCCACCCCAGCTCGTAGTGACACGCAGTAAAAGCAGGGACAAGTGGACATGACGCTGAATGACTGGCAACACTGGAGCCGAGCACATGGCACATGGACAGAAGATGAAGGTGCTGCCAAGTGAGGCTGTCGTTTCTAAGCCGCTGTGTGAGACTATCTCTGTGACGGGGTAGACGGGGCAGAGCTCGCCTGGCACCCGAGGGGCTCATGGCTCTGGCCGAGCAGACGGCATGCTCTGGGCGATCCCTGGCGAGCTGGGTCACCTGGGCTGGTTTAGCTCTCTGTGCCCCCCGCTGGGTGGGTCTGAGGGCACAAGGAGTGACCCCTGGGCTGGAGGAACCCCAGCGCCCTCGTCTGGCCTGCTCACAGATGATGTCCTTGACCCTTAGCTAGAGGGGCAGGAAGGGTGGGGCAACGGAGCCCTCGCAGGTGGGGTTCCCCTCAGACACCAGCCACCTGGGGTGTGCAGTCTGCTGCAAGCCAACCCCCCGCACCCCCCACCCTGCTGCTCACTGCTCCCGCCGTACCTGCTTGCTGCCCTCCTTGGAAATCTGCCACTTGTTACTGAGCAGTTCCTGTGCCGCTTTTCTGTGGCTGCCCCGAGCCTGCTTCTCCGCGGCCCTGCAGGGGGAAGATGGGCGCCCCACTGAGAACCCGTGCACAGCTGCTGTCCCTGTCTCCAGAGGTGCTCGTCATGGCGCGGTCACCGCTCTACTTTCCACGTGAACTATCTGAGGACTTTTTTCCTTTTTTCCCCCTGCCCCAGGCCCCCACCCCTGCCCCAGCTTCAAGGTTTGGGTCAGATGTCATCTCCACGGTCACACGCAGGAGTGGACAGAGGTGTGGAGTCGGACAGCTCAGAGCATGTACTTCCAAATCAGGTATGCCCACGTGCTCAGACCTTACAGCGAGTTCAGCGTTCACAATGGTGCGGGCGGGCTCCCGCAGTCTTAACAGAGCCCTCCCATGCCCTGCCATGGCGCCGCTAACAGCCCCTTCTGGGAGATATTCCAGAAAAGGACAGAGAGAGCTGTCCAAGGACCCCACTGGGTGGCCCACCGCACCCCCCTACCCCCATCTCAGCAGCCAGCACCTGCCCCCAGTCATCCAGACCACCCACCTCTGTTCTTGGAAATAGGGGTGCTGCAGGGCCTGGTGGGCAGTGATTCTCTCGTCAGGATCATAGGCCACCATGGCGTGCAGGAGGGAGAGGCATTGCGGGGACAGATTGGCTGTCTGTAGAGGTATTCCTGATCCCTTTTTAAAAGGAAAATCAAAACTCATAGCTCTCGACCTGTATTAAAAGCCCAATGATAATAAATGATCATGCCATTGTCACGACTCTACAGGGACCTGCACTGGGGGAACAGTCTGTGACTTAAAGGGGCAGAATACACAGGGTCCAGACCCACAGATGGTGCCACCCAAGAGTGGCCCCTCGTGGGAACTGTGGACCTCGGGGGACAATGCCGGGTCAGGTCAATGCAGCTCGTCATTCTAACCGACGCGCCCCTCTGGTGCCGGCGGGGAGGCTGTGCGTGGAGGGCAAGCGCTATATGGGAACCTCTGTCCTTTCCCCTCAGCTGTGCTGTGACCCGCAAAATGCTCTCAGGTCTTAGACTTAAAGAAAGGGTGGTGGTGGTGAAACCTGTTACGCTATAAATGGAGAAAAGTACTCTTCATCAGAGACTGACGTCACATTTCCAGCTGAGAAGAAGGGAGTAAAGTTTAAAAAAGAAGAAGAATCCCAAACAGTTGTCGCCTCGCCTTCCCAGGTCTTGCAGCTGCTGGGCGCTGCCACCCTCAGCCCACGGTGCCTCCCTGGGAGCCCACGCCCCCGCTGAGCTTCATCTTTGACCAGCACACAATCCTAACGGTCGGGTGTCCGTGTGGGGCAGTGCTGGGGCGGCTACTCCACGTCCTCCCCGCACGGAGCCGGTGCCGGGGAACCTCGTTCACCCAAAGGCCTCCACGTGCTGTGAAGAGTGTAAATACTCAGCGACAGAACCTCACTGCCAGGCCTCGGCAGGACAGGAGGAACTGTTGTGTGATGCTGGAGGGAGAGCATCCCTCTCGGACCTCCGGGGGGCCCCAAGGACTGAGGGCTGCACCGGCAACAGAGGGCAGCCTGGCCCCACCCTCAGTCCCCCCGTGCTGCCAGCCCTGGCAGGGGGACAAGTCCACACGGGGCCCTTGGGAGCACGGGGCACTTACTGTTTGAACTTGGTGAGGGTCTTCGCAGCAGGTGTGCCCATGATGTCGTGGATTTTTGAGATCTGGTCCAGCTCATTGGCTCCAGGGAAGAGGGGCTGCAGACTGGAAGAAGGTGACAGGGGCTGTGGTTAGGACAGTCCCCTTCATCCTGGCCGTTCTCGACACCGAAGTCCTGCAACATCCTTCCAAATTAATTCATGGCATTTCATTAGCACCAGAGAAAGCGTGGTCTGCTGGCACTTTTAGCGTCAGTGAAATTGCAACTCAGCTTTCAAAAACTAACAATTATTAATATGAATGATCTAGAAAGGTGTGAACACATGCCTGGATTCATGAAGCCGTCAGCTGAGCAGGTGGGAGCGGACCTGGGTCCCAGCCTATGCTGGGCTCTCCATCTGATGCATCACCCAGACATTAAATGCACCCCGGTCCTTAACAACGCACTGTGAGCCTGGGGGTGCCCACCCTCTGTGAGGGCTGCTTCCCCCCACACCCTCCTCACCTCCTCCCTTCTTCCCAGGCCACGCCGCCTCCAGCGGTGAAGCCCGAAGGCGGGGCATGGGGCTGGAGGATGGTGAGGACTGGGACGCTGCCAGGTGGCCAGAGAATCCTGCTGGATACACCTGCACCTCCAGGGCAGGGCCGGGCCATGCTCACCCCCCCCCCACCCCTGTCCCCTGCCGGCGGGCCCCACAGGTGGCAGTAAGCACGTTTCCACTCGGTTCCTAGCTTGGTGATCGATCATTTCACTGATGGAGCTGAAAGCAGAGGCCTTGGCTGGGCTGCGAGTGTTCTGTTCCCCATCACCAGCAAGTAAGGAAAAGTGTCGACAAAACACATTCTGTTAAGTTCAAAGCAGTCACAGCCTCAGGATGACTGAGAAATCGTGCTGTGAAGGAAGGGCCTGGCGTGAGGCCTGCCGTGTGACCGCGTCAGCACGTGCACACAGACGCGCACTGGCCCGAGCGGCCTGTGGACACGAGCCTGCGCGGCTCTACCTGGTGATCTCGTAGAAGACACAGCCCGCGCTCCACAGGTCCATCTTGTGGCTGTAGAAGCCGTCGGTGAGGAGGCACTCGGGGGCCCGGTACCAGCGGGTGGAGATGTATTCCGTGTACGGCTGCTTAGAATAGACACTCCGGCAGGACCCGAAGTCCCCTAATTTCAGGACATCCTGCTGCAGGGGGAGAAAAGCGGGGACAAATGACATCTCATGGGGTCACCGTTGTAATATAAGCCATCTCAAATGTTTATGCACTAACGGGAAAATGACTAGCATCTAACCTGGCTTGTAAAATACCAGTTACCCTAACCCTGACCCTGACAGGTGAGGAAGTGGTGCTTCTATTCAGGGGAACACGTTTCACAACGGTTTCCCAATGTCTGCAGATCCTGGGAAAAGCTAAGTCCTGGTGTGAGTCTACGAGCGAGTCACACACCACAGTCAGACGCCGCAGCGCCAGTCGGGCAAATCAGACAGACCAGGGAGACGGGTTTCGGGATATTCCTTCCATTTTCTTCACCCTCACGTTCAGGTAACAAAATACATGCTGCCGATGACTGCAGCCTCGGTAATGCCCAGGTTGCGGGCTCGATCCCCCGTGGGGGGCATGCAGGAGGCAGCCGATCAATTATTTTCTCTCATCATTGATGTTTCTATATCTCTCTTCCTCTCCCTTCCTCTCTGAAATCAATAAAAATATATTTAAAAAATAAAATAACCGTGATTCACCTGTGAAGGGCTCTAATGGAAAAAGTAGACAACATGCAAGTTCAGGTGGGACATGTCAGCAGAGAGATGGAAGCTCTAAGAACAAATCACAAGGAAACACTAGAAATTTAATAAAATTAGCAGAAATTAAAAATGTCTTTGCTGGGCTCATCGATAGACCAAACACAGCGAGGGAGAGACTCAGGGAGCTGGGGGACAGGCCAACAGAAACAACCCAAACTGAAAGGCAGAGAAAAAAGAACGGAAAAACAGAAGAGAACACCTAACAACTGTGGGAAGATTTCAAAGTGAAATAAGCCAGACCAAAAAAAGAGTACATATATCTAACTCCATTTCTAGAACATTCTAGAAAACGCAAACTAATTCTATAATAACAGAAAGTCCGTCACTCTGCCGGGGGACGGGGCAGGAGGACACTGTTGGGGTGATGGGCTTGTCCATCAACTGGATTTGTGAGGACGGTTTAGCAGTGATGGCGAACCTATGACACGCGTGTCAGAGGTGACACGCGAACTCATTTTTTGGTTGATTTTTCTTTGTTAAATGGCATTTAAATATATAAAATAAGAATCAAAAATATAAGTCTTTGTTTTACTATGGTTGCAAAGATCAAAAAATTTCTATATGTGACACGGCACCAGAGTTAAGTTAGGGTTTTTCAAAATGCTGACCTGCCGAGCTCAAAAGGTTCGCCATCACTGGTCTAGTGGCTTTGGAGGGAGACAGACCTGCCCGAATCCTGATTCTTCCACTTTTCTATTTCGAGTGTTTGAGGTGATCATGGGAATGGAGTTTGTTTTCGTACATAGTCTGAGGAGAGTACCTACAATTATTTCCTTCCAGATGTACGGCTATATTGATGACATTTATTAAATAAACCACTTTTCCAAGCTGCATGAGGAGAAAAATCCTATTGCAAGCCTGGTCTCCAGTTACTGGGACTAAAAGCACCAGTGAGAAATCTTACATTCTAGCCCTGGCCAGTGTGGCTCATGGATAGAGCATCAGCCTGGGGACTGAAGGGTTCCGGGTTTAATTCTGGTCAAGGACACATGCCCGGGTTGCTGGCTCAATGATTCTCTCTCATTATTGATGTTTCTATCTCTCTCTCCCTCTCCCTTCCTCTCTGAAATCAATAAAAATATATTTTAAAAAAAGTTTTACATTCTACCTTTATTCTGATACCAACTTTTCGTATAAAAGCCCTTACCTTTATTAATATATTTTCTGGTTTTACATCTCTGTGAAATATTCCATTTCTGCATTCAATATAAAAGGAAGGATAGAATTAATTGTACCTCATTCATTCACATGCCTGTACATTGCATTCCTAATGACTGTTAATACACCCCATTACCCTGGAGCTGCCGCGACCCGGAGCGTACCTGTGCATATGATCGAGGGCCCTGCATAGCTGGTACATGTAGTGCACAACTTTCTTTTCTGATAATGGATGTCTTCTCCCTGTACAATCAAGGAAACAGCCAAATATGGTTACTAATTGTCCTGGGACCCTTTTTTGAAATAAAAAGCAGAATTTGTTTTTACTTAATAGTATGTGAAAACCGAACTTCCTGTGAGAAATGACCTGGAGCCGTTTTACAGGAAACACAGAGTGTACCTACAAAAGGAGCCGTTCAGAATTCCACCCACGGGGACGAGCTCACAGGAATCCGGGAGCTCGCGTTCCAACCGTGGCGGGAACTGCGTCAGGTGAGAATCACAAACCTTCCTCCAGGACCCTCCTTCCCACTGCTGCCGGGGGCCAGCAGGAGTCACCGGTCAACCCGGAGTTTCCCTGGGACCTGCTGGATGGAGCTTTCCACTTCAAAGGGGCGAGATCACAGGCTGAGGGAAGTGCAGCTGTTTCAGTCCAGGGAGACCTTTCTGGCCCTGCGTTCTCCGCTGCCTGCAGTCCTAGTGGAAGAGCCCTCTTCAGGGGCCCTCTCCCTTTCCTCCTGGGGACCCCATCCACGCGCAGCCCTGGCGCCTCCCCTCCCTGGGGAATCCCTGCCAGATGGAGCAAAGCTGCTGATGGAGACGGGCGCCTTGTCTGTTTCAGCTGTCCTGACCAGGTGTTTTTCCAAGTTAATGTTTACTACTTTTCTCATTAGAAGAGTCTAAAGAATGTCACGTACGGTACTGGTAATGCGAACACAATGCTAAACTACGGCTTTGCTGTCAGGCCTCACTGAGGAAATGTGTTTGCCAGTGCAGCCTGCACTGTGACAGGCCAATCACACTGCCCCTTCCCACAGGGGGCCCAGTCCCCAGGCCTGTGCCTGGCTTTGCGGGTCAGTCCTGGAGGTGCACACTGGGTCCACCATGGCACAGCCAAATGGCCCAGAGGCCGTGTCCCACGGCACCACGCGGTGCTTTGCACAGGAGGGCCTTGCATCATGGCCCCTGTTCTGCGAGCGGTTAGCGGGTGAGACGTTAGACTCAGCGAGGAGCCTGAGCTGTGACCGGCACCCCTCTCAGCAACCACGGCCACACTCAAGGTCAGGGTTCTCCCAGTTCTGCTCTTTGAAGCTGCTCATCTTAGCCAAGTGCTGTATCACTTCTTTGAAATTCTACTTCCTCGCCTCTAAAGTGGAGTTGGCTCCACTGTGAACTGTCAAATAATAATAACAGCTGTCGATGTTTGTTGAAGGCGGCGAGTCAGGCACTGCTCTTAGCTCTTAGCACGTTTTATTGGACTCTCACAGCAGCCCTCAGAGTTGGAACTGATCACCCCCATTAAAGGGCCTGACCGACCTCTCGCCACCCCGGCACGGCGCTGGCTCTGGCCGGTGTGCTGCTCCGCCACGTGGGAGGTCCATGCTGCGGCATCAGTGCCAGACGGCTCCCCGGAGGCACCAGCATTAAACCGCCAGGAAGGTGTCACTGGCTCAGAAGAGAATTCCGGGGACAAAACAGTGACGCCACTCACACTCTGAACGCAGACTGACATTAAGGAAAGCAAAGCCACCGTCACGCTGCTTCTCGGGAAGTGTGAGGAGCCCCATGACAGGCCAACCTCACCCCGACTTTCCTGTGTGCACCTGCGCACAGGGACCCGGGAACCGTCTAATATACCCCAAAGGGCTCTCTTCTAACCGCGATAAAACTCCGCTCGCTAAGTGATGAGAATGCTACGTGTCAGAGCTGAATTGGCATGTTTTTCCCTCTTGGTACATGAAAAACAGTGGAGTGCATCGTACAACCAGTGGGTCAGATTTGATTAAATAGAAACACACAACCGAACTAGTCTGACACAGTCACACCAGGCAGAACAGTCAGCGGCAGAACATGGGCCTGAGCTGCCCATGGAAATGAACTGTAGCTATGGCCACGGTTACAACAAGCTGGTTTTACCTTTCCCCACCTGGTTCATTCCCCAGCAACGTGGATTTATTTCAGAATGCCCGCCCCACCCACAGCCTCTAAAGATATCACCCTAAGGTGACCAGGCCAGCCCGCTGGACCTGCTACAGCCCACGCTCCACGAGGCGGCCCGTGACTGGGATTTCCACACGGGCCCGTCAGCTGACAATGGAGGGTCTCAGGGTCTGGGGGCCATGTCTGCCAAGAGAGGAGGAGGGGACCGTGTGGCCCGGGGACCGTACGGCCTCGGCAACCAGAGCTTAGCTGGTCCCACCTCCCTGGGTGGAGCCTGACAGCTTTCTGCACTAGACCTGCGGTTTTACAAGATACTCCTTCCTCTGCAGGTGAACCAGCAGAACGGCGTGACTTCTTCCAGTGGGAACAGTCTAACTATGACCCTCAATATCCAAACATCATCCAGGTGGATGACGGACATCTGGGGACACCAATGATGGAGCTGCCAGGACCCCACTTCCTGGAGGCCAGAGAGCTAACACTCCAGCGCAGTGGGACACCCCGTGGAGCAGCAGGTCTGTGTCAGGCAAGCAGGGGACCCACCAGAGCACGGGCGGAGGTGAAGGAGCCAGGGCGAGGGGCGAGGGGCGAGGGGCAAGGGCACAATTAACCAGCCATTCAGAGTGGTGTCACTGAAAGTTAAACAGGAGGCGGGATCACATGCAGTGCAGGCAAAGAGCAGGTGCCTCTGTGATCAGGTGAGCACCGTGCCTCCCGCCTCCAGATGTTCCAGAACAGCCTTTCCCACCACGGAGGGCACCCAAATGAACAGACCAGGGTTCCAGCCAAGTCTCCATTCACCCTGTCACTAACTCACTCCGATGGGAGCTCCCCGAAAATTCCTCCCAAGTGCCCCCTCCTCACCCCTCTCCCCCTGGCACACCCCACAGACCCATCCCACCCACCGTGTAGCACGCCAGACTAGAAAGCTAAATGACATGCCTCCGTGTGGGGCTCAGGATGTGGTCTGACCCACTCGTGAAAGACCCTCAGGCCCCGGCCACGGGCTGAGGAGAGGAGGGGAAGGCAGAGGCCCTGAGGGTGCGGATCGTGGGGAGGCAGCTCCGGACCCTGCAGCGGGGGCTGGGGCCTCGGGCAGCCCAGGGCAATCGCTTGGGAAGCTACTTCCCAGAGGCTCACCCTGGAGGTTGTTGCTTCAGCCGCTCCCCCCCTCACCCCTCCCCACGATTCTGTCAGCTCCGTCCCACATAATAAAACCCTTCGGTTAAACTAGCAGGAATGCACGCTATTGTCTGCAATGAAAGGGGATGACCCCTACATCTATGTACGGTCCCTTTCTTCTCTACACTGCAGCCCGACAAGCCCCTACACGGTGCTCCCCAGAGCACAGCCGCACACTGATGCCGCCTCGGGACTTCCCAGTCGGAGCGGGGCTGACGGAAAGGAGCAGCGCCTGCTTGGAAGCTGTGGCAGCCGTTCAATGTTGGGTGACATCCCAGCACAGGGCCGTTCCCTGGTAATTATTGCATTTACAAACAGTTTGGTCCACAACAGACAGTAAAAAACAAATCTGGCTTTCTGCCATAGTTTTAGAAACACTGGTCTAAACACCAATCAAAGTACACCATCCCCCTGGTTTAAACATGTTTTTTTTTCTTCTTCTTAAAAAAACTGATTTCAGAGGGAGGAAGGGAGAGGGAGAAACAGAGGGATACATCAATGATGAGAGAGAATCATCCATCGGCTGCCTCCTGCACGCCCCCTACTGGGGATGGAGCCCAAAACCTGGGCATGTGCACTGACTGGGAATCAAACTGTGACCTCCTGGTTCATAGATCGAGGCTCAATCAGCAGCCAAGCCTAGCTCCTGCTTTAACCCCCAATGATCTGAATCTTACCCAGCCCGGTGACCTGCAAACCTCATTTCCTACAACCCTCCTCCTCTGTTGGGGCCACAGTGGCCTCTCACCTCACGGGGGCCTCAGGGCTTTTGCACCAGCTGTGCCTCTGAACCGCAGCGGCCTGTTTCATTCTCACACCACGGGCCCTGCCTGGTCCGGGTCACTTCTTCACTGGCTTGCTGTCTCTCTCTCATCAGATATGAGCTCCACGGGGGAGGGAGCTGTGTCTGTCATGCTCCCTTGGGTCCCCACCTTGAGAACAGCCCCTGGCCTGTCACGGTGCACGAGACGCTCTCCTGCATCTGCCTAATGCTACCACTTTCGGGGTGAGCCTGGTCGGCTCTGGCCCACGGTCACCTCTGCCTCATCTGACATCTACTGGAGGAAGAGAAAACGGCACCAAGCAAGTCACTCCCTCATGATTTTGCCTTCATACAGTTTATCTCTACGGTGGACTGTACTCTCTGCATTTAAAAATGCATCTTCCATGCTGCCTCTCTAGCTTTGCCGGCCCCCGACACTGCTGTGCACGCTGCAGACAGCTCTGCAAAGGCTGCAGGGACATTCTCTCGGTTCATTGACTGGTCCCGGTATTTAACGGTGCTGCTCAATATTCTCATCATCCAAGGGAGTAAGTGAAATGAATTCTGATCCTACTAGAAAAATCTTTAGTGATTGATTTGACTTTCAGTACGTCAGTATCATAGCAAGAGCAAACAATAAGTGTCCAGGCAGTTGAGGCACTGAGCGAGGGCCAGGAATAGGAAGGCCAGCGTGGCGTAGGGCATCACGGTTGAAGTTTCTGAGTCAGGCTTGACTTTAAGGTCTGGCTCTGTTACTTCTGAACAACTTAGCTTTGGGTTACTACTTACTCCTTCAGGTCTCCCTTTCCTCACCTGTAAGCTGGGGATGGTGATAAAAGTGCCAACCACAGCGGGCTGCCAAGAGGCAGGGTGTGGGGTGATGAAGAACACTCACTCGGGAGCCAGCCTAGGTTCAGACCCCAGGTCTACCGCTTCCTAGGTGCAGAGCCTTGGACAGGTTACCCATCTCTCTGTGCCTCAACTTCTTCATCTTTAAAATGGGGATAAGGACAGCATGTGCCTGATAGGGCTGTTGTGAGGGTAACATGAGTTAACTCCTCTAAAGTGCTAAGCACAGTGCCTGGCATGTGGCTAGCATTCATGAACTAGTAGCTTCTACCAGTCACCGCATTTCAGCAATGGTCTAAGGGAGACCTTTTGTGTTCAGTGTAACAACTCTGGAGTCAGGATGCATGTTCCGGCACTGTGTCTGACCATCGCTGCTGGCCGCTTTCCCAGGTTCTGACCCCTCTGACACAGGCCGGCCTGTGGACGACACCGTGTTTGTGTAGCGAGTCACCCACAACTGCACAGCCTGTTCCACAGTCTCTCCCTGGAGGCAGGTACTGGAAGAAATGGGTGCAGTTTCCCCAATGATACAGTTCCCCTACTGCTGAAAATTACACACTTATTTCTGAACAAAGCTTTCTCAAATGACCCTCTGACCTTGAGTTCTGAACTATCCACTGTAGGAAGCAACATTCAGAATTCTAACGTGAGCACTTGTCTCACACCGAGAACTGTCCCTGAGCCAAGGAGGCAGTTAGGTAGGTTTGTCCCAGAGTAAAACCTGGGCTTCCTGGCACCAACATTACTGTAGGGAACTGGCGAGGCCGAGTATTGATTCTCGGCTGCATGTGCGCCAGCCCGCACTCTCTTAGTTACACACACAGAGGATGGAGTGAAGGGCCGCGGCAGGCAGCAGGTGTTAGGAAACGTAATCACACGGTAACACCTCATTTACCCGGGCCCATGCGGGGCACGTGAGATTCCCAGGTAAACGAGTTTACTTCTTGAATGTCAACTCTTCTCTACTGCAATCATTTTAAACGGGACTCTGAGAAGCATCGGGTTCACTGTCCTGCCTTCCCTCTGTGCGCAGTGGAGTGGAGGCCGCCACCACCCACCGTGTGGCCTGCCTTTTCTAACTGTCCTGTGGAATCTGGAGACTCGCAGCTGTTTGCCCAGATGGCTCTCAACCTCTGCTGTTGTTTTCAGACGCACGTGTAAGCTCCATATTCTCAGCTCTCTCCAGGATGGACTGTCCCCTGTCACTTTCTGCTATCGCTGGTGTGCCAGGTTCTAGAAGCTCTCTCTAAGAGCTCTATATTAAATAGGGTTTAGACCAAGAAAACCAGATCTAACTCTATTAGAATTGTATTTTAGAACAAAGATTATACCCTATGAATAAAATACACACGTTTTTGTAATGATAAGAAATACCCTAGAGTCCCAGGTAGAAAGCTTCTATTTCCCAAAAAGATCCAAAAGCTTTTGCATCCAAACATCTTACATCGACTTTTATGCATGTCGAACAGTGTGTCCACGTATTTTTAGTCACATGTGACCTCTACTAACGAGCCGTGATGCTTTTCCCCACTCTCCTGCTTCATCAAACAACCGTGTGTGCCCTCCCCCCGGCGTGCTCAGCGTGGGTGTCCCCACGGCAGCGCAGCGTGACCTGCAGTTCTGCAGAGACACCCGCTTCCGTCTGGGCTGGGCCGGCCGTTTGAAAGCATCTATGGTGCTGCCGCAAACCTTCCTTCCCAAGCCAGCACCAGTCCCTCCCGTGACATGAGGAGGTTCTTTCTCCTTTGGCCCATAAGCACGGTGTGACCTGTGAAATGCAGCACTTCCTCTGGGCTTTCTCAGTGACATTTACAAGGCTCACGTGTCCTGACAGCTAACACAACGGTGAGGTCACAGGCCCCGGGACCGTTGTTAAATGTGGGCCAAACATCTGCCTCCTCCTCTCCATTCCCCTCAGGTGACCTCTGTAAGCCTCCAAAGCCAGCCCTGGTCAGCCACCCCCCCCCCCCCCCGCCCATGCTCTCCTAAACAGGGCTTCATTGTTCAAAACAAAGCCAATGAATGAGCACCCTGTCTGTCACTCGGGAGACTTTGGAAGGATCCAGATATAAAGAGGTTCCCTCTCATGTGAGGGATTCTTTGGGGGGGGCGAGCCCCGCCTTACTCTGAGGCAAGAACAGAACGTGGATCAGCAGCAGAGCCCGAGGGAAGAGGGACCCTCGCGGTGGGGACCACAGTGCGGAGGCCCCGGCTGTCCTGCGCGCCATCCTCCTCCCTGCACGGCCAGCTCGTGGCTGGCAGCCTTCCTTCTCATTTTATTTACCGCCGGACGGTCAGCCCTGTGTGTTTATACTCGACAACTGCCCTCCCGTGCACCCACCTTGAGCACCAGCAAGTATGAACTACAGGCTTTTCAGTCAGTTCTTACATTAGCTTTCAAAGGAGTCTACGTACCTCGTATCAGTTCATAAACATTCATGTCCATAAGCTCACATATTAGCGCAAGAGAACCAGATTTTCTGTCACTGAAGAAGAAAGCAGGTTTTTGAAATGTTTTCTCATGTCTTAATCAGAAAATATAATCAAATATTTAATTCATCTGTAAACATTTCTTGTAAAGAAAAAGCACTCCCACATCAGACAAAGCCTGGAGTGCAGTGACTGAACCAGAAGTTACATTTCAGGTAAAATTAACTTAAAATAACAGTAAAACCCTGCTTTAAGCACAAACCCTAAAAGCCCCCCTCCCCATTTTAAAAGACATATGTCTTGACAATATAAAATTAACTCTCTCAAGAGAGAAGAAATGAGGTCGGGGGGTGGGCCAGACAGAATAACCAAGGAGAGAAGGGTTTAATTCTGACTGCAAGTGCAATCTTACTTTTAATTTGCCTAAATCACTTCCATGTGACTCATTACCATGGGGTGGGGTGGGGTGGGGAACAGAGTCCAAAACTAGTCAGGGGAAGCGGGAGAAAGATGAGTGGCATCGCCCCGAGTGACATCCTGCCCAGAGTGGGGACAGAGGCCTCTGGCTGCGCCGCCAGCTTCCCCTGGGTTCAAGGAGCCCCGAAAGGGGCCTCTGACCCCGGCAGGGCAGCAGGTGACACCGCAGGCTGCTCAGGGGCCTCCGGAGGGGCCCCCACTGTCTCTCAGGGCTGCCAGGAGGCCCAGGCCACTCTGGACAGGGCGCTCTTTAAAGCGGGCGTAAAACACCTTCCCCGCAGGCAGTCGTGACTGTCACACGAAGACTGTAGTGTCTGCACGCAGCCCAAACTGACGGCTCAGCACACCGCAGGCCGGGAGGCCGCACGCTGCAACAAGACAGTGTACACGGAGTTTAAAACTGTTCGGTCCTCTGACGGGCATCTGCCGCACCTTAGTTTCTTGGCAGGTGTTAAAGGCCACGCCACCTTCTCGGGGATCAGCACCGCTGGCCCAGGGAAAGACAGGGCCTGGAACCCCGGCTGAGCCCCACTCTGGGGACAGTGCCTGGGACCAGCTGTGCCCTGACCTCCTGATGGGTGGTGATCCTCATGGTCTACGGTTAGACCAGGAATAAACAATCCCCCGAAACCGTATCAAGAGAGGCTACAGGAAAGGCTACATGAAACTGCAGAGATGAACAGATGACTATGGTAGGGAAGGGAAGCCTATCTCCCCCACCTCCCCCCGAGTACGACCCAGACCCAGCGGGTCAGGTCAGAGCTCACACCTGAGGCCTCAGGAGCCCAGAATCACATTACGAATCAGGTGCACAGCTGACTCTCTGGGCTACAAAACAGATCTCTAAATGCCAACCATGATTTTCTTTCTTAAAAAGAGATTTAACCATTATCACCAAATGTAGATAATTTTTAAAGGCCCGAGTATACTTACAAAACCACTTCATGCAACGTAAGAATGTTTGGGTGTGGATTCAGGCGCCTCAGTGCTTGTATCTCTCGGAGGTTGTTCACTTGCTCAATACTATTGTGTAGGCAAAAATAAACAGCTAATTTATCACTCAGGTCAACTTGAAAATTCGGGCTATTCAATCATTACTTATCATCCATGATCAGAACTGACAAGCTCACAAATACTTCAAGCAAGTCAATCAGGTTTTATTTTTCCATTAGCAGTAGAAATTAAGCGTATTATGTTTGTGCATTATCTTATAAAACTCAAGGTCCTTATAGCTTTGGATATAAATTCAATTTATCCCCATCTAGCTCCTTGGTAGTTTCTTTTAATAAATATAAACAGAGATGTTAAAATTTCCTATTAATCAGTTTATGGGAACTAACCAACTAGCAATGTAAAAGCCATGTAAAAATAAGCATTTTAAATTTCCACAAACAGGCCCACTCTTCCTTCCTACTTAAGGCGGTCATTTTTTTCAACTTCCTTCACCTGGTGACAGGTGCTCTCTCAGCAGGTGTGTCTACACAGGCTTTTCTTTAAGAAGACAGCTACACCTGACACCCTGTTGACACCCCAAATCCATCAATGCAAGCGTCACTGAGGCTGCCACGCTCTCCACGCAGAGCCTGGGGGAGCCTGGTCTCCCTGCCGAGCCTGGGCCCAAGGGCTCACATCCAATGAGGACTCAGGCACCAGAGACTTTCATCTCAGAGGTTCTGAAAGGAAGTGATTGCGCGAATCTTCTCCCTTTGAACTGGTGAAATTCTGTTAACAGAGAGAGGGAAGCTCAGCGTTCTGTTTAGTTATGTATCCAATAGTATACTGTTAACTTAAATCAATGTGGCTGCAAACGGAAGTATCTCATGCCAGCCAACCAACGGGAGCCTGCTGTGTAAGAAGAGCCTCAATAGTCTGCATGTAGGATACTTTTAACTAGAAGTTCAGACCCTTCTTTCATCACTGCCCCGTTTCCCCCTCTCACCCAGGATGATATTCAAACTGTTAGCAGCTTGTGCGCCATGGTCAACGAACAACCAGAAAGGACACAGCCCACAACTCGGGAAGAGGGTCCGAAAGGGGGCCCACTAGGTGCTGGCAGACGGCGGTCTAGGGAGTGCGGGGCAGGGGCCCAGCACAGGGCAGGGAGGGCGGTACCCCAGAGGCTCAGGACAGCAGCTCCTCACCACCCAGGACAGGCGGCTTCCACTCTTCTAATCGTGATGGGGAGTCTTCCAGAACTGGGCCAATTTCCTAAACTCACCCATCACGGGTAGATTTTATGATATGCAAATTATATCTCAATAAAGCTTTTTAAAAATCTTATCTCCCCTTTTATTTAGAAACCCTGAACTTCTCTGTTTTGATCAAGTCACATAGCCTTTCTTTGGCTTATTAAAAAAAACTCCACCTAAAATATAGTTGCATTTAAAAAAAGTAACAAATAGCCCTAGCCAGTTTGGCTCAGTGGATAGAGCATCAGACTGTGGGCTGAAGGGTCCCGGGTTCGATTCTGGTCAAGGGCATGTACTTCGGTTGCTGGTTCAATCCCCAGCCCTGGCTGGGCCCGCGTGGAAGGTAACCAATCGATGTATTTCTCTCACATCAATGTTTCTCTCTTTCTCTCTCCCTTCCAGTCTCTCTAAAAAATCATTGGAAAAATATCCTCAGGTGAGGATTAACAAAAACCAAACCAAAACAAAACTAAATAAATAGAACGCCAGCTAGAAGGGGTCTGGGGGACTGGGTGTTGTATACCAACTCCCATCAGTCTCTGCAAATGCTGCTGCCGCCACGGTGTCCTCATGCTCCCCTCACCGAAGCTCTCAGTTCTCAGCCTCAGCATTCACTCTGTGTATGGCCCAGCCCATTGCTTCCCGGCCTCCGTTAGCATTTGAAGATCTGAACTTGCCATCAGCATGTGGAGATGACCACTGAGGAGGCCTCCTTTCACAGTGATGATGGCCTCTAGAGTTGACAGTTTTTCTGCGTCCTGAGGATGTGGTTGGTGTATGTCTCCCATCTACTGAAATCCTATTTGTAGATGAGTTTTGAGTGGGTTGGAGTTCCATTGTTTCTCCACAGGGTCACCTACGGACGGTCCGGCACAGGTGTTTCGGTTCCTGCCGCACGGTCAGATCTTCACAGTGGAAGGCCCTCCACTCTGTGCTGAGAAGTCGATGGCTGTGCAGCTTCCCAGAAAGGGATCAGACGTCCGTCCGATACGCCAGCTCCCAGCACACCGGGCTCACAGGGGTGGGTATTTCTGCTTTGCAGCTGCTGGAACAGTTTCCCAGGGCTGGTCCAAGGCGTGTCCCGGAGACCAGATCTTCATGGCGCCGGCGACCTGTGCCACGTCCGGGTGGCGCCCTATCTGAGTCTCAGCATTCCGTGCCACGGTGTACCGTGATGTTATCACCCGTTCCACTACTTCATCGCGTTGCCAGCGTTTTACCACTATGACTGATGCTGTAACAACATCACGGGGGGGTGAACCCTCCCCGCAAAGAAGACTTCTAGGCCAGGTGATTTCACTGACGAGTTATTTCAAATATTTAAGAAAGAAAGACTCTTGCACATTTCACAAAAGAAGAGAGATGAGCTGCCAACAAGCAGGGACTCGCAGACTGGGTCCCACTTGGCTCCACCACCTGCCAGCTGGGTGACCCACAGCTCCCCACCCTGACAGAAGGCCGCAGGCACCATCCCCCGAGGGCGGCAGTGAGCACCAGTGACAGGCAGCGATTCACCAGGACTGGGTATGGTGGCAGGTGCTTGGTGAGCAACTGCTGTAGTCACCTGGCGTGATTTCCTGTCACGGCTACTCATTTCTCACACCACCCACACACGGTGCAGGGCCACTAGACAATGAGAAGTAGAGCAAATGGATTTTTAAAGGAACCCAAAGTTATTCTTCCAGTGGATAAGGGTAAGTTGTTTCACAATGAGGGTGTAGATAGACTATAGATGGTCCAGGTTTCTCACTGTAAAGTTACTCTCTTTTCCTCTTTATTTTCTATTCTTTAGAAGCAAGTTACCTATTGATGTCAGTATGTACTCGTGGTGATTTGAATAGACAGACGGCTGGGTAGATAGGTGAAGAGAGAGAGGTGTGGGGGGGGGGCGGTTAAATGGGTCCGTGCACATACACACTGGCTTCGTCTACTGAGGTGATGACATTCCAGGAGCCATGAGCACACCTGGTGCTGAAGTCTTGTTTCCAAGTATCTTTCTCCAGTAAAAGGCGACAAGGCTCCTTAGAGAAATGGGGGGTTCTAGGGGCCGGGAAAATACAAGATGAGCGACAGAACCTTGCAGTGCTGATGGAATAAGAAAAGGGTGGGCACGTCAGAAGAAACAGAGCCACCCTGAAGGAGCTCCGGTGGCCAGAGCTGGACAGTTTATTAAGTAAATAAAGACAGCGTTGGATTGAACATATGTACCAAGAGCAGGTAAGAGCTTACAAGAATAAACCCAGAGTCCAATTCCCCTCGGGTCTGTTGCCCGGCTGCAGACACCTGTCCATGAGCCTGAGGTGACCATCATCTAACGTCAGCCACCGGCCACCAGTGGCCCAGGGCCACGCTCCCTTCCAAGGCAAGCAACATTCCAGTGTGGTTCACACTGCAGACACCTCCCCACACACCCAGACTCGACAGCAAAGCAAAGGAACACAAATCCCGTGGTCCTTTATTAAAAATATTTACTTATTATGGGTTTTTTAAAGGAAAATGTGTTCTAATCAACCGCTTTTAAAGTTAAGGCAAAGAGCAAGAATTGTTCTCAACAACATCAAGCGGTGACCCATTCGGCAACGAGGCTGCCGTCTGTTGAACATTAAGCACACGCCCGCCTTGCTAGCTACTTCCTAGTCCTCCCCTCGCTTGCTCCTCAAGCCCCTCAGACAAGGAAGCCCGGCTCAGGTGCTCGAGTGTTACTGATCTCTTCTCTGCAGCTGGCTACACTGATCCTGGTTGAGTTCCGGTCAAGCTCATCCTGTTTACAGCTGGTCTGCAAACTACTGTGCTGTATTTTACCATTAGCAAGAACAGCATTCAGTAAGAATGGCCCGGACCTTGAGACCTTGTCCTGCTAACACCAGGGTGCACTTTCGGTGTGTGGGGGACCTGGTGGATGGAGGAACAGCTGGCGTGTCACCGGCAGGAAACCACGTCCTTAGGTGGTGCTACCTCCTCCCGTGGCGGGGGTTACACGAGTGTCTGCCACCCCTCACAGGAATGCCTCCTGAGGCATCTAATCTTGGTTGACTTCTAAGCCGTGTTCCAGATAGCGCTCCCTTCCTGCGGGGGCATGTGCGGTGGAGCAGTGATCGTGCCCGCGCAGGGTTCTGTTCCAGCAGCCTCAGGAAGCGCCGAGTCGGGAGGCTATTTGCAGCCCACTCTTTATTTGCATCTCTTCACTAAAACAACAGCTGGCAAGTCCTGTTGTCGGCAAGCACATCTGCCCCTGAGCCTGACAGCGGGAGCGGTTCTCTTCCGAGAGGCAACTGTCTCACACCTGCTGCTACAATAGTCCGTCCTCAGCCACCTGGCTGTGTCTCCCCAAGGTGGCTGTGAGTTGGCTCCCACATGCCGGGCCGTCAGTACACTGCGTCCAATTCTCTATCACGAGTAATTTGACGGCCCTGGCCAGGTGCTCAGTGGTTAGAACATTGACCCTTGGACTGAAGGGTCATGGGTTTGATTCCCAGTCAAGGGCACGTACCTGGGTGGCAGGTTAGATCCCTGGCCCCGGTCGAAGCAAGAGCAGGAAGCAACCAATCGATGTGTCTCCCTCACATCAATGTTCCTCTCTCTCGTTCTCTCCCTCTTCCTTCCCTCCCACTCTCTCTAAAAAACCAATGGAAAAAATATCCCCAGGCGAGGATTAAAAGAAAAAGAGTAATTTGTCGCACAAAGGAAGAAGTGACAGAGGAAGGCAGGAGAGCAGCAACAGCAGTCTCGGCAGAGCAGGTAACGGCCACACACTGTGGCGGTGAGGACGAGGAATCTGGATTCAAATCTGGCTCTGCCCACCTAGGGGCCTAGAGTGACAGCTGTCAGCTGCGTCACGTCCCTCGGCACTGTCCTCCTGCACAGAACAGGGGTGACGACTTTGACCCTGTGGTGATGTCTCGAGGATGAAATTACTGTTCTCCATACTCTTGGACACCACTAGTGCCCTATACTCCTTGCTGCTCTCAGAAACAATGCTTCACACGGAGAGTCTGGAATCAACGTTTATATCCCCAAACACTTCAGAAGGCTCTGCACCAACGTGGGGGAATGCCTAAAGAAATGTGACTGTGTTGTACATATCACATGAACAGAATCTTCCCATGAATATTGAGTTGCCCTGTTGATTTAAACCCATGTCTGCTTTCAGTGTTAACCTCGTCTCATCGCCTACCTTTCAAAGTGCTGTTTCATTTGTTTGCATGCGTAGTAGTTTCCATCCCTCAAGCTCTGCATCTTCATAACTTCAGAAAACGTTCCCTCGCCTATTTTGCCAATTGCTTTGTAGTCTATAAATAAAAACAATTATGAAAATAGATTTTATTTATACATATATTTTATACTTGTTTCCAGACAGGGAAAGTTTTACTTGTAAGAATATCGGCAGTTGCCTAGCCGGTGTTGCTCAGTGGTTGAGCGTCAACCTATGAACCAGGAGGTCATAGTTTGATTCCCAGTCAGGGCACATGCCGGGGTTGCGGGCTTGATCCCCAGCAGGGGGCGTGCAGGAGGCAGCCAATCAATGATTCTCTCTCATCATTGATGTTTCTGTCTCTCTCCCTCTCCCTTCTTCTCTGAAATCAATAAAAATATATTTCAGAAAAGAGATAATTGGCAGCATGTACTGAGGACTGTTTCTCCTTTTTTCTAAGGCTCAGCGTTCCCCCCACTTTGTTTTCTCTCTGCCATCCCCCCATAGCAGGGAACCACGTGATTGGCATCCTGGGGGGATGAGAGGCTCAGCCCACGAGATGTGGCCCGCTGGGGTGGTTCTGGCAGGAGCGCTCACATGGGCCTGGGCATTCGGCAGAGGAGACACTGTGCCAGCAGCCTCGGAGCATTCCCCTGAAGGCCACCCTCTCTGGTCCCACGGAGGCCCAGCTGAGCCGCCAAGCTTCCTGCAATTCTTGCAATTCCTGATTTCCTGAAACTGACAGCAGCAGCCCCTGCCTTGCACTGCCACCACCACCACTGCCCCCTGCACAGATAATGGTTTTACAACCATAGATCCCTTCCTGCTTGAAATGCCTAGTTTCTGCTTTACAAACCAAACCCTGACAGATTCACACATGAGTATCTTAAAGTGGGGTGTGGCTGCTAACAAAAACCTGAAAAATGCAGGCACTGGAGAGCGCAGGCTGAACCAGGGAGAGCCTGGTGAATGGTGCCAAGATCCTGCTGCCTTCCCCAGACCAAGTGTCTGCTGGGCTGCTGGCCTTTTCCCTTTGGCCCAGGGAGAGCGGGAGGAAGGGTCACAATGACGGGATGTTGTTTCAGGGACTCTTGGAGGCTCCGGTGGAACGAGATACAGAGAATAAGAGCAAGACTAAAAAGAAACAAGGCAGCTTGAGAAGGAGGATTAGAATGGAACCTTATGTGTAGAACTCACGGGAAGCAAATAGGCCAGAAACCTATTAAATAAAAATGTCCGTCACGCCCTAACTGGTTTGGCTCAGTGGATAGAGCATCGGCCTGCGGACTGAAGGGTCCCAGGTTCTATTTCAGTCAAGGGCATGTACCTTGGTTGTGGGCACATCCCCAGTGGGCGGTGTGCAGGAGGCAGCTGATCGATGTTTCTAACTCTCTATCCTCCTCCCTTCCTCTCTGTAAAAAAAAATCAATAAAATATATTTTTAAAAAATGTCCATCACCTTCAGATCCAAAACCTGCATCAGCACAGAGCAGGCCTGTGAAACTGTTCAGCCTCAAGGAGGTAGCCTCTTCCACATCCCTTCGATATGGCACATTTTAAAAAAGATATACTTTTATTGATTTCAGAGAGGAAGGGAGAGGGAGAGATATTGAAATATCAATGATGAGAGAGAATTATTGATCAGGTGTCTCCTGTACGCCCCAAACTGGGGATTGAGCCCACAACCTGGGCATGTGCCCTGACCAGGAATTGAACCATGACCTACTGGTTCAGAGGTCAACGCTCAACCACTGAGCCACGCCAGCCGGGCGATGTGGCACATTTTAAAAACGTGTGTGAATTCTGATCTGAACATACCAGCAAGAAAAAAGGTACTTTTAAAAAGAAGTAATAAAGTTTTTTAGAAATGATATTAAATTTAAAAATATTCCTATTCCAGTCAATTTCCTACTTAGTTTGTTTTCGTAAGAAGCTCTGAATGTAGACTACCATTCAAGTACTCTTAAATTTGGTTGTTCTAAAATGTTCTCTTCCTTTCCTTTCCTGTCAGTAACTTGCATAGGACTCAACGCAGGTGCAGGTTGTGGTGTGGCAGGGTCCACGTGACGTGGCACAGCCGATGAGGAAACCAACGTGGCTGTGCAGCAAGACCACCGAGGATGTCCCACACCACCCCTGGCAATGGCGCGGCTTTGGGGGAGAAGGGGGTACGGTAGACTCTCACCTTCTGCCTAATATTCAGCATGGCATAAATATCCCACAGTAAGCATGAACTGCTTGTTTCTTGTTTATTTTTAAAAATTAACTTCTAGCTTCCTCAGTCGGCCTGTGAACCAGGAGCTCATGGTAGATTCCTGGTCAGGACACAAGCCCCATTGCAGGCTCGATCCTCAGTAGGGGGCATTCAGGAGGCAGACGATCAATGATTCTCTCTCATCATGAATGTTTCTATCTCTCACTCCCTCTCTCTTCCTCTCTGAAATCAATTAAAAAATATATTTTAAAAATGGCCACCTGTACACTTTAAAGTGGGTTCAGTACAAACCCCAAGTGTGGGCCAACACTGCAGGCACCTCCAGACCATCGAAATCAGTCGGCAACAAATGGAACCTGCAGCCCTGGAGGTGGCTGTCTGTGGTGGGAAAAGGGCCACTGCTTCCTCCATGGCTCTGTCAGTAACAGAAGGTCTGGTTACAAAACAAGAATGAAGGGGGGGGGGTGAGATACAGAATGGCCCCCTCTCATCTCCAACAGAACCCACATAGTTCACAGGCCTTGAGAGTCAGACAAGAAATATGAAGATACTAGTACACACAGCGCTGTGAAGGGTGCAGAGCTGAGCTAGGGACAGTCCCTGCCCCACATTAATGGGACTAGAAATAGTCACCCCAAACAAAACGAACCGTCCACCCAGACTCAAGGACAAAGAGGACTTACTATAACCGAATAAAAAAAGGTGGAAAAAGGAAAATAAATGAGATCATTTGTGTTCATTAAGATTCTATTCACTTTTTAAATTTTTATTATTGTTTAAAGTATTACAAATAGTAGTACATATGTCTCCTCCCCCCCCCAACTGTTCACTTTTATGAAACCAAGGCTCTTTTGTTTAAGTGGAATCTAAACCTTATTTAACCGTGAAAGTGGAGGTCAAGTTCACTTTTTGTGAAAAGAGCAAGTTGTCACGCCCAAGTGCAAACATTTGTATTCAAGCACTGCTCCTGAAGCTCTGAATCACGCAGGTGACGTGCAGCAGAGCCGTGGGGCCCAGCCAGCGGAGGAATGGAAAGAACTGGGGGAGGCTAATCGCTATGTTCGGGGCATGTGCCTGGACCACAGTTGTCAGGGAGAAGATTCCGCTTCTAATGTCTACTCTTTTCAAGAGATTAAGGAATTCAAACCAAATGACGGAAACAAGGTCAGGAACCTCCAAGGAAAAGGTCCGCACCCAATTAATCACTCGGTGTAGTGAGGAAAACTGTGACCTGAATAACCAAACATCCTGAGAACACAAAGGGACAGAAAATTATTCCTAACTGCACGAACATCTTACATTTCAATTGCACCCTGCTCTGGCCGGCAAGGCTCAGTGGTTAGTGTCGGTCAGAGCACCAAAGGGTCTCGGGTTCATTTTCCCGTCAAGGACACATACCTGGATTGCAGGTTTGATCCCAGCCCTGGTCAGGGCCCGTGCGGGAGGCAACCAATCCACGTCTCTCTCACATCGATGTTTTTTTCTCTCTCTCTCCCTCTCCCTACCCCTCTCACTCTCTCTAAAAAAAAATCAATGAAAAATATATCTTCCAGTGAGGATTAACAACAATAACAAAATTAAAAAATAAAATTTAAATTGCACCCTTTGGCCCTGGCTGGGTAGCTCAGTTGGTTAGAGCTTTGTTCCCGATATGACAAAGTTGTGGGTTTGATTCTTGGTTAGGGCACATGCCTGGGGTTGTGGACTCCATCCCCAGTAGGAGATGTGCAGGAGGCAGCCGATCAATGTTTTCTCTCTTCCTCTCCCTCTTCTCTCTCTCAAATCAATAGAAACATATTTTTTATATATATTTTTGTTATTGATTTCATAGAGGAAGAGAGAGGGAGAGGGAGAGACAGTAACGTCAATGATGAGAGAGAATCACTGATCACAGCCTCCTGCACGCCCACATCAAAGATCGAGCCTGTAACCTGGGCATATGCCCTGACTGGAAATCAAACCATGACCTCCTGGTTCATAGGTCTACACTCAACCACTGAGCAACACCAGCCAGGCAATAAAAACATATATTTTTTAAAAAAGACACAAAAGGCAGGACACTGCCAAATTAAAGGAGACCAAAGAAATAGGAAATCAAAATGCAATTTGTGATTTTTGATTGGATCCTGGAAAAAAATAAAAACACCTATAATGAACATTATTGGGATGATTGGGAAAATCTGAATTATAGACTGCATGCTCGATGACAGTACTGTATCAACATGCTAGTTGTACCGTGACTGTGTAGGACTCTGTCCTTGTTCTTAGCTCACACTTGCTGAATTGCTAGTGCTGAAATATCATGCTGTCTACAACTAACTGTCAAAGGTTCGGCAAAAATAAATGCGTCGCTTAGAGAGAAAATGCCAGAACATAGTGGGGCATCTAGGTGAAGGGTTTATAAACATTCAAGGAACTCTCCTGGCAACTTTTCTGTAGCTTCAAAAATGTGCAAAATAAATAGTTGGAAAGGAAAAAAGGAATATGGTACAGAAATGCGTGTGCTGTATATAAGTTCACACTATAAGTAAACGTGCAAACCTTTTGCACTTTTGTAGACCTTGCACTCTAACCACAGCTTTGGGTGCATTCGAGAGACAGACAGACAAGTACACAGTATCCAACAGGAGAACATAACAATGCTTGTACAGGGTGAGTGAGAGAAGTCAGTTATTTTTAATATCTTTGCCACACAATTGAGGCCATAGACCACTACTAACTGACAATTAGGATAGGATGCAAATTTAACATTACAACTACACTAACGTAATTTATCTTTTCACAGCAAAGGAGGTCGGAATTTTTTTTGCACCTTCGACTCATCGGCTCTTCCAACCCAGGGGGGCTGGGGGCCCCTGAGTGACGCCAAGGCGACGAGGCCCGGCCCCTCAAGGTCCCGGTCCCCTGGGGCCCTGCGCCGCCCTCGCTCCCAGGCCCCTCCGGCTCCGCCCCTGCCCGGCCCCACTCACTCTTCATCCTGGACGGAGGCCGGCGACAGCCCCGGGCCGACACTGGGCGGAGAGGAAAGGGGCCGGCAGGGTGGGCCCCGGCTTCCACGCCTCCGAGGCGGGGTCTCGAACTAGGACCTCCGCGGTGGTCCCGGTCGGAGCGTTAGGACCCGGCCGCCATGTTGTGTCCCTGTCGCCCTGGCAACCGCCACGCCCGGGACGCCCCGGGACGCCTCCCGCGCGTGCGCGAAACGGCTGCAGGAAACTGAAGCGACTGACGCGGAGCCCCGGCAGACTTTGCAGATGCAAAGCCGGGGTGGGAGACGGGGGTGATCGCGCACTTCTCGGGGGCGCAGGGGAGCTGTCTGAGCAAAGTCCAGGGGCTGGTCAAGCAGAAGAGCGCGGAGTGTTCCAGCCGGAAGGCCGGCAGGCGGGCGCGAAGTCCGGGAGCGTGAGACCCATCTCTCCTGCCCAACCCGGGGTCCTGCGGAGGGGACAGGCCGAAATTAAGGTCCTGCGGAGGGGACAAGGACACCTGTCATTGCAGTGAGGGCCCACACATCCAAGACCCAAGGCCTCCTCTGAACTTGATTACATTTGCAAAGGCCCTATTCCCAACAAGACCACGGTCACTATGTCCCATCCGCATGGATTTGGGGACACAGAACACACCTCAGAAGAGGTATCACACGGTACACGGAGCCCCGGGGTGGAGTGGAAACACCAGTCTCAGAACAGCAAGCTGAGCAGAAATTTCCCATAAATACTGGTAAATGCACGCCCAGGTACAAGGACACATTTCCCTATGGGCATGTTCTCTCCCCCGTCAGTGCACTCACATGTGACAAGATGCACGCCCTGCGACGAGCACGGCCCCTTCCGTGGCAGGGCGTGCAGAGGCCTCTGCACCAGGACCTGCAGGGCTCTCCTGTGTGAGAAGTGAGAGCGCATCTCTATACTCACCTACTCAGTGCACAGTGTTCTGACAGTGGACGCATTGCAGCCTCCCGCCACCAGGGGGCGAACCGCCGCCCCTCGCAGTGCTCTGCTCTCCCCGCACCGCCCGGAAGTCCCGCCTCTTCCGGAAGTCAGCAAAGTTTGTCCAGTAGACAGCAGAGTCCAGGGGTGCAGGACTGTCTGGCCTGAGTTTCTTCTGGCAGCGCGGGGCCGGGAAGCCTCAGGGGGACCTGGGCCTGGGGCGGCGGGCGGGGTCTGGGGCGGCTGACCCTGCGGAGAGAAGCCCGGCCGGCGGCCTCGAAGGGCAGCCCCGCGGGGGACGTGCTCATGCGGGGGAGTCCGTCCGCTTCTGCGGGGAAGATGGGACGTGGGGGCCGCGGGGCGCGGGCTGGGGACCGGCCCCGCTCAGGCCCCGGGGCCTCCGGGTGTCGGCCTCCCCGCTCTGCCTGCACCAGCGGCTCCGGGAGGCGCCTTCCGAGTCGGGGTTTGTTTCTGAGAAAGACGTCCCCGCACAGGCCGCCCTCCCGCCCGCCCTGCAGAAGGCGCTGGAGCCCGCGCCGCCTCTGCCCTGTGTGGCCCGGCTCCGGCCGCTGCCCCAGGGCTTCCCGACCCAAGTCCTCCGTGTCGGACCGGGACCCTCCTCAGCCACAGGGTTCGGCTCAGACAGAAAGTCCCCGAGTTGTAGTAAAAGCCACGGCCCCGGCCCCCGGCAGCAGGTCAGGCGTCCGCTGGACGGGGCGCCGGAGGTCGTTGTCCGCTTCCCCGTCAGCCTTCCCCGTGGCGGGAAGGACGCCGGGAAGGACGCGCTGCGGGGCCTCATCACGGTGCCTCGGGCGCAGAGCGAGGAGCTCTCCAGGGCGTGCCTCCATGAGGCTCCAGGTGTGCGGTGACAGCAGCGTCCACGTGGGGCCCAGAGTGGGTCACGCCCCTGAGCTGCTCTCCAGTCATTTATCCATCAGACACCAGGTCTCTGCAGATCTGCATGCAAGTCCCATCGGAACCAATGTGCGAGCTTAACAACTTCAGCAACATGAACGGTATTGCTCGTTTTAAATGCTCCACTGATGATAGTTTATATTGAAGACATCAAATACGTTCAAAATTTCAGGTATTTGATGTAGTTAAGTAATTCCCATCGTGTGTTGAAAACATTCAACCTGAGTATTTTATACATAAACTAGAGGCCTGGTGCACAAAAATTTGTGCACTTGGGGGGGTGGGGGAGAGGGGGTCTCTCAGCCCGGCCTGTGCCCTCTCGCAGTCTGGGACAGCTCGGGAGATAACGACCTGCTGGCTTAGGCCTGCTCCGGGGTGGCAGAGGGCAGGCCCAATCCCTAGGTGCGGACCCTGGTCAGGCTCAGAGCAGGGCCGATTGGAGAGTTGGGGCGCCGCCCCCTGTCATGCACAGAGCAGGGCGGATCGGGAGGTTGCGATGCCACCCCTAGTCACGCTCAGGGTAGGGCCGATTGGGGGGTTGGGACACCGCCCCCTGTCACACTCAAGGCAGGGTCGATAGGGAGGTTGCGGCGCCACCCCCTGTCACGCACAGAGCAGGGCCGATCAGGGGGTTGGGGTGCTGCCCCCTGTCACTCACAGAGCAGGGCCCATCAGGGGGGTTGGGGCTCCGTACCCTATCACGCACAGAGCAGGGCCCATCAGGGGGGTTGGGGCTCCGTACCCTATCACGCACAGAGCAGGGTCGATCAGGGGGTTGGGGAGCTCCCCCCTGTCACACACAGAGCAGGGCCGATCAGGGGGTTGAGGAGCTCCCCCCTGTCACTCACAGAGCAGGGCCGATAGGGAAGTTGGGGCACCGCCCCCTGTCACACACAGAGCAGGGCCGATAGGGAAGTTGGGGCACCGCCCCCTGTCACACACAGAGCAGGGCGGATCAGGGGGTTGGGGCGCCGCCACTGTCACACTCAGGGCAGGGCCGATGGGGGGGGGGGTTGGGGCGCCGCACCCTGTCACACACAGAGCTGCAGGGCAATCAGGGGGTTGGGGAGGCCTTGCTGCTCCGCTGATCCCAGTGCCGGGAGGCATATTACCCTTTTACTATATAGGATAGAAGCCTGGTGCACGTGTGGGGGCTGGCTGGTTTGCCCTGAAGGGTGTCCTGGATCAGGGTGGGGGTCCCGCTTGGGTGCCTGGCCAGCCTGGGTGA